AATAGACTATAAACCTATTTCTTAATGGCAATAAAAATTGGGATTCCACAAATTTCGGAATAAAAAATAATAATAATTAGAAATTGTTGGCAAACAATTTGATGGACTTTGAATTCATAGTTGGAAGCAAACCAAAGTTGGTTGTCTAGTACACTGAAGTTTACAAGAAAAGTGAACCCCAGCGCACTAGTTTGAGAACTGGAGTTGACTAGCTTGTGTTGTGGTGTTTTTATGCACTACAAGCAAAAGTGGGAATATATCATGTTCAAAGCAGTATAATGTATGATATTACAGTCTTTCAAGTCAGAGACTGTGGGTCTACGCATATAATGTATTTCCCTTGGTCTACTTTTTTGAAATTTATTTTTCTTAAAAGATTAATTTAATAAATCTGGGATACAAAAAAGAAAAGAAAGAATAAAATGGTTACATAGCTGTAGCCTCCTGTAGCATTTAATTGTAGGGCCAGTTAAAGGGAAACCAGAGACAATCCATATCCGAGAAAGACGAGTTTTATCACTGGCCACTAGACAAACGGCTGATGATGATACAATGATATCTAGTTGGAGAAGAAGACCACAACGGTGACAATAACACACATACGTGGATATGTCGGCATGCTGAAACACAAATTTAAAAACACCACTTCAGTGAAGTCATGAATTGCGCAGTTAAAATTTGTTGATAAACTTGTGTTCCCTTTTATATTTATGCAGTGCTAATTTGAATTTCTTTCAATATCCAGAGAACATAATACATAGATATGATTTTTGCATTTTTCTCACATCAATGCTTCTGCTGAAAGCATTCGGCGACGAGACTACAACATCGATTGTGTTCATAAAGATATCAAGTTTAACTACACGTCTGTATCGTTACAGTCACGGTTAATAGATCTCCATGGCTACCTGAACATCTTCAACGACACCATTATTCTTCCGCTTTTAATTTTAAGAAGTTAACATCGAATGCAAGTCGGTCTGCAAGGTTGTCCTCATTATAAAATAGTACAGACAAATTAAAAATAGATATACACTTTATTTATTTTACAACAATTGCGAAACAAGTTATTTCAATTTATACTATTCACTCTTGCTAGCCCGGACGTAAGCGCACGATGAGTCTTATTGTGGGAGGAAACCGGAGTACCCGGGGAAAACCCACGTGTCAGGGTAAAAAGTCTAGGTTATCTGAAAAAATGTTGTTCTATATAATACACTATGACTTACCATTTAAATTTTTTGTGACAACATACTCATTTAAGATTTTATGCTTTTTACCTTTTAGTTTCTTTGATGTTACTTCCTTTTTAGATCGCTGTGTGTTTTACCAGTTGATGGCCTTAATAAGATTTTATGCGTTGACGGGCCGTTCAGAATGTTATAATAATAATAATAATAATTTTTAAGCAGTCCAAATTTAGAATATCATAAATAATCTTTATTTCTTACGCCGCAATGTTAAATTACTTTTACTACACTTAGTTACCATATTTTATCCAACGAGACTCTAAAAACATTGATACCTGTATTTATGTTTTTTCAAGGGAGATAATTTAAACCAAAATTGTTAAAAAATGTAGTTCACTGACCAATCGGCAATAATTAGCAACGATTAATGTTTATTGGTGCTGAGTAGAGAAGAAAATGTCAACAAAAGTATGATGGATTAAGTAAAATGAAATCCAAGCTTTTCTAATAATTCTATTTATCATATCCGAAATTTATTTAGAAACAAAAATGCATTACATACCGGTAATACAATTTTGCTTGTTTATTTTTAAAAGACAGCAAGATGCCAAGTGTTGATTAAGACAGGAAGAGATGACGATAAGCACTATAAATTATCATTATAATAAAAATAATTAATTAAATAATAAATTTATTGACAAGGTTTTCAAATTCTTTAATTTTGGTCCAGATATTCGTAAATGGATAAAAGTTTTTCATACTAATGTCAGTGCTTTTGTTAATCAAGGTGGTAATGTATCTTCATCCATCTATATAAGAAGGGGCTGTCAACAAGGTGATCCAATCGCGCCATATATCTTTGTTCTCTGTGTTGAAATTTTGGCCATTAAACTAAAACATAACAAAAACATTAAGGGTATAAACATCAGTAATATTCCAATTCTTATCTCACAATATGCAGACGACACCTCTCTTATATTAGATGGCTCTGAAATATCATTAAAAGAATCTATTTTAGAATTAAATGCTTTCGCAAAATTCTCTGGTTTGAATCTAAATATTGACAAAACACAAGTGATCTGGATAGGAAGTAAAAAATATAGTGAAGATACTTTGTTACCTGACTTGAAATTACAGTGGGGAAAGGTCAAATTCACGCTTCTTGGAATTGAATTCAGTGTCAATCTTCATGAAATTCCAAAATTAAACTATGATAAAAAATTAATTAAATTGAAATCTATCATTAAGATGTGGAATAGGAGATCACTGACTCAAATTGGGAAAATTCATCTTATTAAATCTTCAATGATATCACAGTTTAACCATTTATTTATGTCTTTGCCAAACCCAGACAACCAGTTCTTGAATAAGCTCAACTCCATCCTTTTTAGCTTTTTATGGAACAGTAAAACTGACAAGGTAAAGAGAGATATTGTTACCCAGAATTTGGGTAACGGTGGACTTAAAATGGTAGATATAAAGTTGTTTATAGATAGTCTGAAATTAGGCTGGATTAGAAGATTACACCAGAAATCTGCTAAATGGCAAGCAATTCTTCAAACATATATTGACCTACATATGCTATCTTCCTGTGGAAGTGATTACATTCAGAAATGTTGTAATATCTGTAGAAATAATTTCTGGGGTGATGTTTTCAAAGCCCTGTTGAGGTTCAGTGAAAGGGTGGAGGTAGAATATGTTAAGAAAAATATTTGGAAAACTCCTTTATGGTATAATAAAGATTTGTTGATAGGGAAGACAAGTATATTCTACAAGACATGGTATGATATGGGAGTGATGATAGTTAATGATTTATTCAAAGATTTTTCTACTGGCACTTTCTACACTTTTCAAGATTTTAAGCAAATTTATAATGTAAATTCAAATTTCCTTGAATACCATGGTGTAGTCTCTGTGGTTAAGTCATATTTAGCTAGATCTGACTTTGTAAGAACATGTACCTCTCACGTTTTTCCAACCATTCCAAGTAGTATTGAGTGTTTTGTAAAAAAAAGGAAATGGGTCAAAAGATATATATCATCTTTTAGTAAAAAACGATACAATTTCTACTGGGAGGAAAAGATGGGAAGAAATATTAGAATTTGATGTTCTAAATTGGAGGGATATTTATAAAAATTGTTTTCGTGCAACAAAAAATACAAAACTTCAATGGTTTCAGTACAGAGTGGTTCAACACATCTTAACAACAAATTTATATATGTTTAAAATTCGACTACTGAATAACCCAAACTTGACAATGAAATCTTAATTATCATTAAATATTACATATATAAGGCAAGATGTCAACACAAAGCCTTAAGTGTATATAGTCTTATTTATTCAGGGAATTTTATACCTTTCAGAAATATATTGCCAATAGTAAAGGTGAACAGGCACAGTTAAGTTTTAATGAGGAATGGAGAAAATGGAGAAAATTATTGGAATTGGCCAATTCTTAACTTTAAATACATTTACTGTCATGTAGTATGTTTTACCGTATTTTAGTATTCTCTGTCTTTACAGTATAGCAGGCCCCTTGCTTACCCTTATAGTATTTATTTATTTATTTATTTATTTACCAGGTATTTTTCTTTATACTCGAGTCCCTATTGTTTCGCTGATTATTGCAATTTTTACTAACCCAGATCACCTCTCTCTCCCCCCCCCTCTCTCTCTCCCCCCCCCCCCCCCCCCCTCTCTCTCTCTCTCTCTCTCTTTTCTCTCCTCTTTATCTTTATGTGTAGTATTGATGTATGTGTAGGAGTGGGTGTGTAAGGGTAGTGTTGTGATGTTAGTAAGGGTGTTGATGAAAATGCCAGGCGATGATGTATGGATGGATTTCAAGTTATAATGACAAATTGTGTTGATAGTTAGGTTGATGATGAGGTGCATATGTGATAATGAATGCTGAGGATGAATCTAATGACATGAAGGTGGTGACAAAGGCATATTGAATATGACAATGATGAAGAATGTATTGACATGATTACTTGATTGAGATAATGATGACTGATGATTATGATGAGGAGGTAATGTTTATAATGAGGAGGATAATGATGATGAGGTAATGTTTATAATGAAGAAGATAATGATGATGGTAATGTTTATGATGATGATGATGATGACGATGATGATAATGATGATGATGATGATGATGATGATGGTGATGGTGTTTCTTTTTCTTCTTCTTCTGATGATGATTACGATGATGGTGTTTGTGATGATGATGATGATGATGATGATGATGATGATGATGATGATGATGATGATTACGATGATGGTGTTTGTGATGATGATGATGATGATGATGATGATGATGATGATGATGATGATGATGATGATGATGATGATGCAACTTAATCGAGATTATGGTGATGTGTGAGTGAGCATATTGTATGTTGTATGTTTGATGATGTTTTGTTGATGTAATTGTTATGTACATTAAAAACTCTTGAAAAATTGAAAAAATAAAATAAAAAAAATAATAATAATAATTCATAATAAGAAAACAAATGTTTAGCACTATCCAATGGGAAAACGAAGGAACTCGGTTATAAAGCTAAGCCGGGACATTTTTTTTAAATGTGTTAATTTCTATTCATTTATCATTGCTATGATAGTTGGAAATATCATATCATTTTCCAAAATCATTTCGTACCACAGAGGGTTTTTCTTCGCATTTGTTTCGCCGCGACCGCTGTGTGTTCACTGGACCCCTTGGCCAACATAAGGGTACGTTAAAGAAACAGATATCATTTCTAAAACTGCAACTGTATTTTAAATACAATGGGATGTAATATTTATCACCTGTTAGCGTGTAATGATACCGATGAGAATAAGCATAACAATAGGTCTATCTGGTGAAAAGCCCTAAAAATGCAATTGTGATACATATCTGTATAATTCACACTTGTCAAAACATAATATATTTGATATATGTAAATATATTATTTACGCAATCTATGGTATATATATATAAAAAAAACAACATTAACATTTTAGCAGAAAGACACTTTTTGAAACTTCATATACCAACTGAATTTCTGATATAAACTTTGAATTATTCCGCCAACATTGCGGAATAGCAGCCATTAATAACACGTTTGTTAATGTTTGCTGGGGTTTTCGCCTCGTGAATAGCCAGGGTCGTATTGAAGCGGGACCATCGTGCAGTAGCTGGTTGTTTCCTCATTAAACAACATACAATTTCAAAGTTCAATAAGGGTAAATCGCCTTGTTCCAAGACACATCCACGCAATAAAAATCCTGTTTATACTGTATTTGGTATTTGGTTTAAGGTTTGCAGAGAAATGTTTGGCGTCTTTTCAAGAGAACAACTGCTGGTTAATACACTGACACTGCCACTCATGTTTTGTTTTCGTCTCGCCAGGTAACTAAGCGGTAAACCAACTAAACCTCCTAATCCAATGACTGCTCCGCCGAAGAAGAAAGAATTATTGTAGTCACCAGAGATGTCAGAGAGGACGCCTGGAGATCAAAAACGAAATTTACGACGCATTAAAATTATACACTGTGAAAACATGTCTGCATCTTCAGATGAAAATGTTTCCTGAACCCCATTTTCATAAGGTAACAATATTTATCAATGAATATCGATTTTAAAGATAATGGAGTTTGCATCAAGGCGATAGCTGTCAAACCTTCAAGCAACTTTTGCAATTTTTGTTGTTGTTACAGGGACACATCTAGCGCCCACACACACGTTACAGTATCATGCGCACAATTGTGCAATAGGATCGCACATTTCGTGCGGTTTGGTAAAATGGTTTACTAAATATTATAATATTAAATGAATATAGATTTTAAAGATAATGGAGTTTGCATCAAGGCGACAGCTGTCAAATCTTCATGTTACTTATAATATGTTTTATTGTTATAACAGTTGATTCATTATCATAACAAGATAATCGGTACAAAAATTGACATATTAGTGTATTTGAAATGCTTCGTCTACGAAATGACACTTTAAAGAATCAAAGAGCCGTGGTAACGCACAACGCGCCAAATCTTCGTGCACACGTCGTGCACATATCGAGCGCGCGTGCGCGCACACACACGTTACAGTATCATGCGCACAAATTTGCAATAGGATCGCACGTTTTGTGCGGTTTGGTAAAATGGTTTACTAATTATTACGAATTAAAAATTAAACGGAAAAATTCGTGAAGTCTTACTAAATAGCGATCACATGAACTTTAAAACTGATCGGTGATTATGAAAGTCATTTTTTAATTCGACAGTTTTCGACATTACATCGGACCTGCATTAATCAGTCGTTCACACTTCAGCAAGCAGTAGTAGTAGTACCTCGGGCAACAAAAGTTTTCATGTATATTGGACAGGTCCGGATCCGTACGGGCTAGGTCGCCCGTGTAACAATCTAAACCCTTAAGATTTGCCTGAACATATAGTTTTTGCTAATAAAATTAATGAAAATGAGAGAAATACAGAAGGAATGAAAATTAATTTCCTTTCTAGCGATACGAGATTTTAAGCGATTAATTGCTGTGTATCATATTTCGCTACCGACTGCAATCTTAAATATGCCTGACGACCACATTTCTCGTAGATCCTGTTATGATCAGGCAAAAGTGCCTTCACACAAAGTACTTAAAAGAATAATGGTCAGGCGTTAATGGCTAAATTATGATAAAATTTCAGGATAATTTAAATACGAATTTTGTCAATACAAAGTCGCTCATATCGCAGTGCGATTGAACAATTTAGGAAAGAAATCAATAATTAACACTGATAAAGAATATGAGTAAGAGGGTCAGTTATTGTGGTGAAGGCAATACAGACGATTTACGTTTTTTCATATTTGTTTACCTGCTACAGGAGATCCGATGAAAAACCCTATTCCCATACAAAGGAATGCGATCCCAAGCGAGCTGGACAGGTATTGTAACCCCATTAACTTCACCAGGTTCACAACTATCAGACATGCGTACGTTGCTGTAAAAATAGATAACTGTACGTATACTACCCAGACATGGTGGTATGAAGAAACATTGGGGATCACTTAAAGAAAGTGCTTCGAGTCTAAATTTTCCTTTTGTAACAATGTATCCGGCCAGTTGAGTTAGTTGGGACATACACACCCAATAAGAAGACTTTTTTCTCAATATTGCAACATATTCTGCTTGTGCTTAATAAATCGGACCATGGAGATAAAAAAAACTATATTCTATAATTCGATTGTGAATCAAATTCTGAAAGGATTGTTTCATCTGCAAAAATGATTATGAATATTACATTATAATAAAATTCATAGCTACCTGAGACTGCACCATAAACTGCTGAATAGACCGAAAGAGTGATAAACGTTGTGAAATAAGGAACACAGCATGTAGACACTCCACCAATTATAAGCATTGTACTCTCCAGAATGAGAGTGTTGACCCAAGGTTTGTCTGACAAGTAGCCTACTAACACACGAACAATTGTACTCGATATCCCGATTATCGAAATGAGAAGAGCACTTTCCCGCGAGGACAGCTGAACAGATGCTCCCTGGACTGGCAGGTAACTGAAAGGAATCGAATACCCTGCAAGTAACAATATATTATGATAATATAACTGGATACTGATTTATATCGATGACAAATGTGAAACATTTTATATCACTAAGGGTTTAATGTCCTAAAATAGTAAGGTCATATAAGGATTATATGTTTTATTTTTAAAGCACGAGGGAAAAATATCAAATATTGCTGTGTTCCGTTGACTGGGATATATGTCGTGATGATCCGCCGAACTCTTACACTCGACTTCAGATAACCTCGTATATGGAACACACCCCCATGTAAGATTTGATTTATCTCTCGACAATAACGACGTTTATATTAGATCCCTGACGATGAAGGATATTATGATTAGCATGAATTCCGCCTTACCTAATAAATACAGGAAAGACAACAACAACAACAGGAGGTAAGCAGGGTACGTCAGCAATGAGAAATTAAATGTATCCTTTAGAATATAACACGCCTTGGAACATTTGGACGCAATATTACTTCCTGGTTTGTTCATATGAACTCCTGTCTCATTTCTATTGGTCGGAGGACTAGCAGAAGTTTCTCGTTCACCAATAGGCCTATATAATGAGGCACAAACCACAGTGTTGAGCACAACAGCGGACATAATCCATAGAGTTCCACGCCAGCCATAGGTCTCGAGGAGAAACTCGCTAATTGGTGCGAATACTAATGCACCAACTCCAGATCCGGACACGGCTATTCCGTTAGCCAAAGCCCTTCGCTTTTCGAAGTACATGCCAACCATTATCATTGATGTAGGATAGAGTAATGCCATGCCAAAACCTACAAAATAATGCCAAACTTCTGATAATGTATTAATTTAACCGATGTCAAATTATTTGATATTTTAATACATGAAAGGCATTTACACGGGAATGTCAAATGAAGCGATATTTGGATATTTCCGAAGTCAAATTTAAGTGGGCTGAACTGTATGATAATTCCCGATGGCGCCCACTTTTCGTAGTCATCTAAGATCGCGTGAACAGAATATATCTATCAATGGATAACAGATGAAACCAATCATGAATGGGCCGCAGACACATGTAAAGGCATTAAATGAGACTTATTTTTCATCATGGCGGATTTGTAGTTACTAGTAGATGCAATATTATTTCACAGAATATATTTTCTAACAGAAAATTGTAGAAAAGACTCATAAATGAGTAACACTTTTTCATTAAAGATAAGATACAATAAAGATGTGTCACGGATGTCCTCAGCGAAAACAAGTCTTAACTTTTATATGTCTTATTGGAGTTATCAGAGCTCCCTCATCTTTATACCACTGCTAATACTTACAGGTAATTACTATATTGTGATAATGTTTATTACCTCCTACGAATCCGTACAACAGGATCATAACGTCAAGGTTTGGTGAGAACGTCGAGAGAAAAAATCCAATACTGGATAGAAGTCCACCACAGATGGCTACCCTCCGAGCACCATATTTTGTTATCACTACACCTGTGATAGGAGCTGGAAAGAATAATTTGATATTGTGTTTTATTTAGCCAACAACCCTAAAGAAATGTATAGTTATAATAGTGTACATATAATGATATTTAGTGCAAATTGTCGTATACAATGAATTTTTCGTGGTGGATTCATACCATAGCAATATAGCGTATGACGGGCATTGTCTTAACGAATTTTCATTTGAAAAGCATTGTATTGTGTAGGATAGCTCTAGTTCTTAACTGACACAAATATGGCATTGTAAAAAAACAACGAAAAAGCGAAATTTGCCGATGACGAAAAATAGATTAAAAAAAGAATAAGTTAATATTAGATGTAGCAGGTGTGACTCATGTTCTCGTGTAATGAATTACTGCCAGACCAGGAGTAATGAACAATTTAATTACATGCCAGGTATACATGACTTTTTGTAACTGCCTTCTGAAAATTAATCATCTACATCGGGCATCAAGTATTTAGTGGAACCCAACCATTAGTTAGGGATGCTTTTATGATGGCTAGATAAAAGTGACTGAATACATAATCTACATTTACTGCGCAGTCTTGCAGTTCAAATTGGTTATATTGAATACTCAATTTCATGATCATTTAGACATAGAATAATGCTGAAATGTGTTCATGTTTTGTGTGGACTTTGCACCAAGGTATGACAACGTCCAATAGTCTTGATAGATATTTTGTAGGATTGGAGTAAATCAATTGTTTAAGAAATACTCCTATTAATTTCAATTGCACGAGATTAAAACACCAACCTAATGTTAGGATTGTTCCGTACATGACAGAATTTATGATTTGCGTCTTTCCATTGCTTTCTCCAAACTCGCGTAGGAATTCCGGGTAAAATATCCCAAATACAGAGCTTACGCCATCTACGATCATACTGATGAAAAAACTGGAAATGGTGACAATCCATCCCCATCCACCGTCTGGGGGCTTTACAGGCATAGGATGCACGAGTGATTGGTCAGGTTGTTTGACATTAGTCACACGCTGTTCTAAATAGAAAATAGGGTATTAAAAAAAAATCTTTATTTTCTGCAAAACGGTATTGGCGGACATATACAATACAAATAATGATAACATAAATAAATTCTTATTATTTTGCACTGTACTATAAATTCATAACAAAAATTAATATATCTGTAAATAACATTCGAATATTTACCTTGCTGTCAAAGATTGTACAAAAGATAACAAGTGAATATCACAATTCAATACAAAGTTAGAGTTATATACAGTAGAGCCAAAATGAATTAAACGGCATATTCGTCCTTCAAGGACTCGTTGGCGATTCAAGGCAATAAACTGCGAATAACTGGGAAGCGCCTGAGGAAATGCAAAGTGTTAAAAAGATCAAAAATCTAAGAAGAGAGCTCAGGAGCCCCATAATTAGAAATATTTGATCATTCGACGGGACCAAATTAAATATTCGATTTAGTCGTGTTTCTGTGAACGAAGACATTGTTCATAGAAGATTGACCCTTTTTTCCGCAAAGACAGCTATATATCTACCTCCTGTTGTTTTAATCTCCATTCTGCTGATTTTAAACCCTTTATCAAACAATTTTTAAATGCTCAGTGGAAGAAGTAATGGAATCGATGTATCGATAATGAATTGTACTCCGTAAAACCTATCATCGGTGAATGGTTTCCATAATATAGAGACAACCACCGAGACGAAGTTATCCTTGCCCGTCTTTCGATAGTTCATACAAACCTTACACATTCAAACATCTTTAAAAGGCGAAGACAATCCTCGGTGCATAAGATTTGATCAGTCATTCACCGTCAAACAATTTTTATTTGACAGCATTGGCCTTCTGCTACTTGAGAATTTTTTCACCATAGCGTTACAAGTCTCCAGATCCTTTTGATACTATTGCGATATATAAAATTCTAGGTTATCTGAAAGATGTTGGTCTATATCAAAGACTTTGACGTACCACTTTGATCTTATATGATAATATAACTCTTTAAGTTTGATAGCATTTGTTTTTTTATCTTTTATTTTGTTTAATGTTTATCACTATGTTTCACCGCTTGTTGGCCCTAATTATCGTTTATGTGTGAACGGGTCGTTTAGAAGGTAATAATAATAATTAAAAACAATTTCATAGGTTGTTTACCGGATACGTATCTCAGAGTAATGCATGACAATAATGACTAAGTAATAAGTAAATAAAAAAATAAAAAGTTTATACAACAACGTTATTTTTTAATCAATTATACGTCTGAATATAAAACAAAAATATGTAATGTGGAACTCTCATCACTGAACTGCAGTACACGCGTTGATCCGCACCCACTCTCATACACAGAACTTTGTGAAATCGATACCTAAAGTAATGTAAATATTGTACTCGCATTTATATTCTTAATAGTAGCAAGTTCAGTCAACACTATTTTAAAATAGATATGTAGTGATGAACATTCTACATTGCTATATCATCGACAAAACTAATCTGATTTACGAAAAGGTGAATATCGTGGCAACATACAGCACCGTCAGAACGTATACTGTAAAACGGTGCGGTAGTTATCACTCGTTTTTTGCTTTTGTTTTCCGGCACCCATGCGATTAAAAAGTAAACAAAGCTCGGTCGATATTAGCTACCATGTATATTAATTTTAAAGTTTGGTTGCCTAGTTCTGTATAACGTCTAACTTTCAGAAGTGCACCTGTGTAAATGCATGACAGAAACACAGTGTTTGAATCATCCGTGTTGAATTTACTAAGATAAAGAGAGAAAAATCCAAAGTAATCGAAAAAGTCAAAAACCTAGACAGACAGGGAGGCACAGCAGCCCCAAAAGGAAGAAAATATTCGTAATTTTCATATATCAGATAATTTTAGAACAGTGTCAAGTGCATGTATATATTCTGAACCTTCCCACTATTTGAATGAATTAAAACGTGGCATGCAGGTAACAGCAAACTTCGGTCACTTAAAGACCAATAATACCATCTGATCTATAAAAAGATTACAAACTACGCACAAGTGAAAATCGTCTTGTATCTATTCTTAAATATACATCTTTAAAAAGTCTTATTTTTACAGTATCATTTTTATACTTACCTGCATTTACAACTGTCTTCATTTTCAATTTCTGATATGGAAAATACAATTATAATTCCAGTTCCAATTCACAAAAATTAAGGTAGATAATCCCTCTCTGTTTCAGTCAGTGAAACATGGCTGTTAACGTGACTTGTTTATATATACTGTATACTCTTGTTATTGTACACGATACACACCGGGTATTTAAGGTGTTCGGTGTTGTATGGTGTTTATGACAACTTATTTTAACCTGATAATTAATGTTCCTTTTTCTTGATTGACACATGCACATCGGATTCGTGTATATTACATAACAAAAGGTAGAGAAAATCATCTTCATTAGATAATAAGATACCAAGTGTTAATTAAGACAGGAAGAGATGATGATCAGCATCATAAATTATCACAAAGAATTCATAATAAGAAAAAGACGATGTTTAGCACTATGCCCTAGTAAAACGAAGGAACACGGTTAGAAAGCTAAACCGGGAACTTTTTATTTAATTTTTTTTAAATGTGTTAATTTTTACTTATTTATCATTTCCTCGAGTAAAATAGTTTTGCTATGATAGTTGGGAATATCAAATCATTTTCCAAAATCATTTTGTATCACAGAGGGTTTTTCTTTATTTGTATTTGTTTCGCCACGACCGCTGTGTGGTCACTTGACCCCTTGGCCAACATAAGGGTACGTTAAAGAAACAGATATCCTTTCTAAAACTCCAACTGTATTTTAAATACAATGGGATGTAATATTTATCACCTGTTAGCGTGTAATGATAACGATGAGAATAAGCATAACAATAGGTCTATCTGGTGAAAAGCCCTAAAAATGCAATTGTGATACATATCTGTATAATTCATAATTGTCAAAACATAATATATTTGATATATGTAAATATATTATTTACGCAATCTATGGTATATACATAAAAATACAACATTAACATTTTAACAGAAAGACACTTTTTGTAACTTCATATCCCAACTGAATTTCTCATATAAACTTTGAATTATTCCGCCAACATTGCGGAATAGCAGCCATCAACAACACGTTTGTTAATGTTTGCTGGGGTTTTCGCCTCGTGAATAGCCAGGGTCGTATTGAAGCGGGACCATCGTGCAGTAGCTGGTTGTTTCCTCATTAAACAACATACAATTTCAAAGTTTGATAAGGGTAAATCGCCTTGTTCCAAGACACATCCACGCAATAAAAATCCTGTTTATACTGTATCTGGTATTTGGTTTAAGGTTTGCAGAGAAATATTTGGCGTCTGTTCAAGAGAACAACTGCTGGTTAATACACTGACACTACCGCTCCTGTTTTGTTTTCTTCTCGCCAGGTAACTAAGCGGTAAACCGACTAAACCTCCTAATCCAATGACTGCTCCGCCGAAGAAGAAAGAATTATTGTAGTCACCAGAGATGTCAGACAGGACGCCTGGAGATCAAAAACGAAATTCACGACGCATTAAAATCTTTTTGAATACACCCTGAAAACGTGTCTGCATCTTCAGATGAAAATGTTTCCTGAACCCCATTTTCATAAGGTAACAATATTTATCAATGAATATAGATTGTAAAGATGATGAAGTTTGCATCAAGGCGATAGCTGTCATGCCTTCAAGCAACTTTTGCAATTTTTGTTGTTGTTACAGGGACACATCTAGCGCTCAAACACGTTACAGTATCATGCGCACAACTGTGCAATAGGATGGCACATTTTGTGTGGTTTGGTAAAATGGCTTACTAAATATTACAGATTGAAAATTAAACGGAAAATTTCGTGAAGTTCTAACTAAATGGCGATTACATGGACATTAAAATTGATCGGTGATTATGAAAATCATTTTAATTCGACAGTTTTCGACATAACATTGGACCTGCATTAATTATTCTTTCACACTTCAGCAAGTAGCGAGTAGTAGTACAAAAGTTTTCCTGTATATTGGACAGGTCCGGATCCGTACCGGGTAGGTCGCCCGTGTAACAATCAAAAAAAAATAAAAAAAAAAAACATTTGCCTGAACATTTTGCTAACAAAATTAATGAAAATTAGAGAAATACAGAAGGAATGAAAATTAATTTCCTTTCTGGCGATACGAGATTTTGAATGATTAATTGCTGTGTATCATAATTCGCTACCGACTGCAATCCTAAATATGCCTGACGACCACATTTCTCGTAGATCCTGTTATGATCAGGCAAAAGCGCCTTCACACAAAGTACTTGAAAGAATAATGGTCAGGCGTTAATGGCTAAATTATGATAAAATTTCAGGGTAATTTAAATACAAATTTTGTCAATACAAAGTCGCTCATATCGCAGTGCGATTGAACAATTTAGGAAAGAAAGAAATAGTTAACACTGATAAAGAATTTTGATAAGAGGGTCAGTTATTGTGGTGAAGGCAATACAGACGATTTACATTTTTTCATATTTGTTTACCTGCTACAGGAGATCCGATGAAAAACCCTATTCCCATACAAAGGAATATGATCCCAAGCGAGCTGGACAGGTATTGTAACCCCATTAACTTCACCGCGTTCACAACTATCAGACATGCGTACGTTGCTGTAAATATAAAGAACTGTACGTATACTACCAAGACATGGTGATATGAAGAAACATTGGGGATCACTTAAAGAAAGTGCTTCGAGTCTAAATTTTCCTTTTGTAACAATGTATCCGGCCATTTGAGTTAGTTGGGACATACACATCCTATAAGAAGACTTTTTTTCTCAATATTGCAACATATTCTGCTTGTGCTTAATAAATCGGACCATGGAGATAAAAAAAAAACTATATTCTATAATTCGATTGTGAATTAAATACTAAAAGGATTGTTTCATCTGCATAAATAATTATGAATATTACATTATAATAAAATTCATAGCTACCTGTGACTGCACCATAAACTGCTGAATAGACCGAAAGAGTGATAAACGTTGTGAAATAAGGAACACAGCATGTAGACACTCCACCAATTATAAGCATTGTACTCTCCAGAATGAGAGTGTTGACCCAAGGTTTGTCTGACAAGTAGCCTACTAACACACGAACAATTGTACTCGATATCCCGATTATCGAAATGAGAAGAGCACTTTCCCGTGAGGACAGCTGAACAGATGCTCCCTGGACTGGCAGGTAACTGAAAGGAATCGAATACCCTGCAAGTTGTAATGGAAATTGAAGTATAAGAGTTATGTCCCTTGAATATGACTTGTGTAATGGAAATTGAAGTATAAGATTTATGTCCCTTGAATATGATTATAGCTAATTACATATTGGTTAGTTTGTTCATCTAATGATTTTTGTCGATTAATACAAATGTTTATAATTATGTAGTAAGATATGGAAAGGTATTTTGTACTATGTTGATATTTTAGTATGCATCATTGATGGTCAATTAAATACCAACAACTGTCACACCTAATGAAAGAGTTTATTATACATGTAAATAGAAATTACTTTGAATTTTGCGAGCGCTGTTATACTGACTGTTGGTGAGGCTTTCAGAGATACACAGACGACGAAAGACTTCTTACTAAGCAAGTAACACAGTCATTTGTGACAGGTGGTGGGTGAAAGTCTGAAATAGTGGCTTTTCCGAAACCGCTTGTCAAGCTGGTGCGAGAGCTGTTTAGCTCTCACAGAAGCTTGGACTTTTGACTGTGGGTAGCTAGCTATAGGGTTAGGTTAGAACACGAGCAAGGGTTGGCTTACTTGGTAGGACAACCTAGTGCTTAGTCAGGACCGACTAAGTGGTATTGCTCGGCGACTAGTTCAGTAGTTGGAACTAGGGTTAGGTGAAGTCACTGGGTGTCGAGCTTGCACTCACGCTCACATGCTAGTCAGAATAGTCTGTGTCGAGACAGCAGTCCATGTGAATACTAGTTCGGTCGTTAGTTTTATTGTTAACTCAGGTAGAGTTTGCTGTTCCACGCTATATGTATATATCGGCATTTGTTAGCTAGTATCTCTGCAAGGAATCAGAGACTTACCCACCGTGTGCAAAGCTAGGCTGCACGTTACACAAGTAACAATATATTATGATAATGTAACTGGATACTGATTTATATCGATGACAAATGTAAAACATTGTTTTTATTTGTTTTAAGTATGAGGGGAAAAATATAAAATATTGCTGGATATAAGTCGTGATGATAACCCGAACTTATTACACTCGACTTGGGATATCCTTGCATGTGGAACACACCCGATGTAAGATTTGATTTATTACTCGACAATAACGACGTTTATATTAGATCCCTGACGATGAAGAATATTATGATTAGCATGAATTCCGCCTTACCTAATAGATACAGGAAAGACAACAACAACAACAGGAGGTAAGCAGGGTACGTCAGCAATGAGAAATTAAATGTATCCTTTAGAATATAACACGCCTTGGAACATTTGGACGCAATATTACTTCCTGGTTTGTTCATATGAACTCCTGTCTCGTTTCTATGGCTCGGAGGACTAGCAGAAGTTTCTCATTCACCAATAGGCCTATATAATGAGGCACAAACCACAGTGTTGAGCACAACAGCGGACATAATCCATAGAGTTCCACGCCAGCCATAGGTCTCGAGGAGAAACTCGCTAATTGGTGCGAACACTAATGCACCAACTCCAGATCCGGACACGGCTATTCCGTTAGCCAAAGCCCTTCGCTTTTCGAAATACATGCCAACCATTATCATTGATGTAGGATAGAGTAATGCCATGCCAAAACCTACAAAATAATGCCAAACTGTTAGTCCAACTTCTGATAACGTATTAATTTAACCGATGTCAAATTATTCGATATCTTGATACAAGAAAGGCATTTAGACGGGAATGTCAAATAAAGCAATATTTTAATATACCTGCAGTCAAATTTGAGTGGGCTGAACTGTATGATAATTCCCGATGATGCTCACTTTTGTAGTCATCTAAGATCGCTTGAACTGAATATATCTATCATTGGATCATAGATGAAACCAATCATGAACGGGCCGCAGAGGCATTCAAAGAGATTTACTTTCCATCTTG